TAAAGCTCTACAATACCTTTGCCCATTTTAAGTATCTGCAACATGTCAACGTGAGTCAATAGTGGCGATAAACGAAGTAAAAGATACTTATCATTTAAAACTTTTAATTTCAGAACAGCTGTTCCAGATGATTTAACATGTTCATAAACAATAACTGTTAACTGATATTTAAAAGGTAGATTGATCTAATGAATTATTTTTAAAATTTCAGTGTAAAAACGCTGAATGGCACCTATTGTTTTAACAACTTTTTTTTTTTAATGACTTTGGGAGTGAGGTCTTAACTTTTTGACTTTTTTTTATTGTTATAGGCGAGAGAGTTTAGGGCTTTCTCTGATAAATCCTTGATCACCTCGTTTCTTCATACATTAAAATAATTTCCTTATTTATCAAGCAGAAAACATTTATTTTTCACATAAATAATGCTAAGAAACTAAAATTTTCCCAAAATTCAAACTTTTTTGTAAATAACGCAATAAATTAAACTACATTTTATTTTTAGAATAGCTTTTTTATCAGCAAATATACTGAGCAAGTTTTAAAGTTTTTTTGTTTTGTTTTTCAATTTGTTTTTTAGAAAACGCTTCCACGATTTTTTATTCTAAAACTTTTCCTTTTATTTCAGTTATTTTTGTCCAAGTTTTCATCTTTTGAAAAAACTTATATAATTATTTGAGAGTTATAAACTTTGTAGGAGTCGCATGACAGTTTTTGCGGGAAAACTTTTTTTTAAAGTCATTTTGTCTGACATTTTGTCATTTTGTTTTTTTGAAATTAAATTATTAAAAAATTTTTCCGTGAAATTTTTGCTGGAAGATTTTATCCGGACGATAAACTAATAAATCAATTTAAAAGGTAAACATTTGACAAATAAGAAGTGAATTAATAAAGTAACCTGATACTTTGACGTTTTTTTCTTTTATGAATTATTGAACTATTTTTATTTTTAAAAGAAATCTTGTATAAAATTATGCATTTGGAGTAGCATCATAGATATATTGAAGCATAAATTTCGAATAATTTTTTATAAAAGTTATTGTTATTTGTAAGTTAGGGAAAAATTTTTCATTGTTTTTTTATTTTATTTTTAAATATATTTTTTATTAAGTTTAAAATAATGCTAAACCGTATATTTGGAGTATTGGCTGATGTAAATGCTTATATTTGGAATGAAAAATACTGGTTACCTGAAGGTGTACATTGGCATGATTTTAAATCAACTGCTGAGTTCAGACGTCCACAGCATACTGATATATATTATGCCCCAATTCTTGCAGTTATTATGCTTATCTTACGATATATTTTTGAACGGTATATATATATATATTTTTTTTTCTTCAAATTACTTGTACATTAAAATAGTTTTCAAAAAAAAATAGAAATAGAAATACAAATAGAAAGGACAAAATTAAATGATTTAAGAATTAAGCTTTTTATTAGTTAATATTTATATATTTATAGATTAAGCCACAGAGTTATAAACATCACTTGATATTTGTAACTCTATGGTCAAGTCACAAATTGCATTTAACATTACAAGCTTTATAAATTATTTAACTATATTAAATCAGTCTTACAATTAAATACAGTATAATTCTATGAAGTTTAGGGGTTTTTTTTCCAAAATTTTTTCCATTATCATTGAGCTTGCTAAATCTTTAAATATTCATTTATCTAACAGGATATATCACTAAAAAATAGGATTCGCATTGTACTTATTGGCTCAAACACTAAGATTGTAGATTAGAGCTATATCTCTCTTTTTTTTTTACTAAGAGATACTTTTCGATTTTTTGTTAGGCTGGATATTTTAGTGATAAGAAACATACCCTAATTTTTTATGAAATTCTTTATGATAACAATGAAACTGTTAAAATAATATTATTCATTCTGTGTAAATGGAGTTTGTCACTTTTTTGTAGAAGGAAATAAAAGTTATTTAACATAAGTATGTAAAAAATAAAATATCAAAAACAGCAGTTTTGTATATGTCTTGTTAACTATACTTTAAAAAACATACAAAAAGTTTGATATTTAGTAAACAAAGAAAAATAGATACTAGTCATATCATCCAAGAATAAATTAAGTTTGGCATTGAAATATATATATCAAAATTTTAGTCACTAAATAAATGGACTTTATTCCCTTTGAAAATATGAGTTTTTTTGCTATGCTATATTTTACAAATCTATATTTAATATATTGGTAAAGAACATTAGAAAGTTACAGGATTGCACTATGTGTCATAGATTCACAGCAATTGTTTAAATGCAGATAACCCATGGACAAAAAGTCACGATAGGAAGTTCTATATCTATAAAGTTTATGTTATTGTTTATGTGAAAATAAATTGCTCATAATTGTTTAAAATAAAAGAAATGTTGTTTCTACTTATGTTCAACATATTAGAAATCAAAAACTGCAGTCATCAAATATTTGATGTATATCTGTAATATCAAATATTTGCTGTAATATCAAATATTTGATGTATATTTGATTATATATTTAAATATATCTACCTAGAGATATTCTCATTTATCCATGAAGAATCTAAGAAACTATTTAGATCAAATGTATCTAGTCAGAACATTTTCCTGAATAAAAGAGAATTAATCATTGATCTGTTTCTCAGATAACTCAAACTTATTATTTATTTAACTTTAATATATTTTCCCGTTTATCAGCATTTTTCAAAATTTTGTTCTGATCAGTGCCTGGCATTAGTAATAGAGGCTTTATTTATTTATTTTTACTGCATTTTCTATAATAGCCTTAAAAACTTAACAAAAACCCTTCAGAGCACTTTTAGTTTAAAGGCCTTATTAAAGAATAAACTGTTTAACATTTGTATACTTTATTATTTATTTATGCAAATATTTATGACCATTGAGTAGATCGTTATACCAGAATGCAATTTGTTTTTTTAGTATAATAACAAGACCACATAATGATAAAGCCAATTAAAGAGCCATATATTTAATTTGCTTGTATAGCTGCATAACTTATTGCTTGAGGTACCAAATATCTATGTTTGAGTGAAGTTTTCTCAATAATCTAATTATCTAACAATTTTCCCTAATAATTGATGATCAAAAAATAATAAATTGGAGTCCAAAAATTTTAAAGATAAAAAATCATTGTTACCATTAACAGTTTCAGTCATTAACACAAAAAAAAGAGAAAAAGTTTTGAATTCTAATTTTTCTGCTTTATTTTTTCCCTATTATTTTCGGGATTTTTAAAATATGACCTGGTTGATCACTGAGGATAAATACAAAAAAATATTTAAAGTTATTTTATATTAAATTTAATATGTGATATAAAAAATTCATATTTTTAAGGTTTGATCTTAAGAGGGTTTTAAAATTGTTACAAGGTAAATATGCATTTAGTTAAGTTTTGACTTAAGAGTCTGGTACTTAATAATTAAAGTTTTGAACTAAAGCTTTTATTGCATCTAAATAATATCTTATTGTTGAGAAATAGGGCCTTCAATTTAACAATAAAATCAGGGATGACTAAGTAAGCGCGAATTTCATAAGTGCAAACTGGCATAAATGCGAGACAGTTACAAAAACTGGCACAAGTGCGGACTGGCATAAGTGCGCCAAAAGATTTTGCAAACATTAACATAAGTGCGAACTGGCATAAATGCGAAGCAGTTTCAAAAACTGGCACAAGTGCAAACTGGCATAAGTGCGAATTGGCATAAGTGCGCCAAACAAATTTGTAAACATTGGCCAAAAAGATTTTCTTCAGCAGATCGGCCATGTTGTTGATAAATCAATGTCAGGAGGATCTGGTACATCCAATAATAACAACACTTCTCAATAATTATTCACTGATGCCAACTCTTTTTGCAAATATTACTGGTTTCAAAAAAGATCTAATTTTAAGATTGCACATTATTTTGTTAAGCATATCAAGTGGCCATGAAATCAAACTGAGAACTTTACTATGATGTGCACAGGAGCGCCAAAGTTGTTTGTAAGGATTTACCCATGGTACTAAATGCAGGCCCATAACAAAAATTATATTGGGGAGCAATACTACCCCAAAAAAATTCGTAGAACTTTTTTTTTTTTTTTGTCAAGTCATTTTTTCAATCAATTTCTTCGAAATTATTTATTTTAAAAATTATTGGGGGGGGGCAAATGTCTTGCTGCCCTCCTCCTCCGCCCTGTTTTCTACGTTCCTGTAGATGCCACAGAGCCTCCACAAACTGCTGACCTATGGACCATCTATCATTAATAGAATGTCACTACCAATTGGTATGATGAGTGAAAAAGCACAAAATCTTTTAAGAGGCAAGCAAAGAAATTTTCAAGCAGTTTTGTGAACGTCATGCTCGAAAAGCTTCGAAAGACTATTGAGGTTTTAGAATTATTAATGCCATGAGATAACATTGTAAATTTATAATTCACATCATTTAAATATATACAGACATTGGTGGCTACCATGAAATTGTAAATTGTATTTGGATTGAATTCATGAGATATGAAAGTATATTTTTTCATGAAATTATGCTATGCAGGCCTTGGCATGAAGAAAATTCCAGCACAATATTTCATGTCGTAAAACTCAAATTTTTTTTTAGCGAGCGTTAGGGAATGCTTTTTTAGTAAGCGCTAATGAATGCTTTTTGGCAAACGTTTTCACAAACTTAAATTTTTCTTTTTCTGGAATAAATTTATAATTTTAATTAAGTTATAGATAATATAAGTTATAATTTTAATAACAAAAGTTTTTTAAAGCAAACTATTCCGTTCAAAAGATAATGTTTTTAAAAATATTTTTTTCGAAATTAAATAAAAAACTTCTATCATTATACATACGGTTTTTAGCAAATGCTTTTACAAAATTAAAATAACAACATTTTTCATAATTAATTTGTGTTTATTATACAATTTGATTTTATTAATAAACTTATATAAATGAATAAAGTTTTATTTAATTTCGTTAAATGTTTGCTGTAAATGTTTTATATAAAAAAAATCTCTTTCACAAATCACCTTTCATTGTTCGCAGAAATTTATGCTCTAATTTTAGCAGAATGATGTAGTTAACATGAAAAAATGAGTTTTTTAATTGAAGTATAACATTTTACCTCAGTTGAAAAAATGTAATTAAAGATATGTGAATAGAGATTATTTTGTTTTTAACAATAAGCAAACATTTTTGTTTAATTAAACAAGAATCTTTAACAAAAACTTTTTATAAAAGAAATTTAATATTCAAGTAAACCATTATTAGTTTTCTCTCTCCCAAATTTTTAGGACGAGCGAAATTTTTTACTCTAGTTTTTTATCGCGCTCGCAATTTATAAATTGCATTAACGAGCGTGTTTCATGTGACAGAAGCAATCGCTCCTGCTTCATGCCAAGGCCTGCTATGAAAAACAATATGCTAGTATTTTAAAATATGTGTTATGTGAATTGTGTTCAATGCCTGCCAACTCCCGATAAATATATGTAATTTTAGCCGCAAAGCATTGTGGGATGTCTTGCGGGACCAAGTAATCACAAACAACGCAACTCTTAGTGAAATATTTATTTGCATTATTCTTACCAGAGGGCTTCCCATAAAAAAACTTTTCTTTTATAAATTAAAAAAATTTTAAAACTATTTCATAATATTGCTAATATAACATTTATATATAATCTATCATTAATATGTTGACGCAGGTGTAAATTTGATATATATTTAACATGTTTTGCATAAATTATTTTAATCATGTTATCACTGTATTTGTTTCATATTAGTTTAAATATATACCCCTTAATTAGATGCTAAATATATAGTTGATAATACTGAGAGAAAAAACAACAACAAAAAATATCTTGTTTCAAGAATTATCATTAAAATAAAATCAAGCATGGATAATGCGAGCTAACTTGTTTTTACATGTCTTGATATTCTCATACAAACATAGTGTCTGATTAAACTTTCTTCTAAATAAAAAGCATGATCAAAATATTCATCATAAAGAAATGAAAAATTCCAATCGTTTTTTATTATTTTATTAATTTGTTGTATAATATTTTTTTTAGTTAATATAAGTTTCATTTGCATTATAAAAACAGTTTCCATTTCGTGAAGTAGGTTTAGTAAATCAGAATTAAATAAGTTACTTTCACAGGGTGTCACACTTGAAAGAACTTGTACACATTTTTGACAGACTTGAAATTTCTTTATCAAATTATCTGCAATTAATTTCAAAACCTGTTTAATTGACTGTGAAACTGAATCAGTTAAAACATTTTGTAATGCGTAAGGTTTTTGTTTGTTTTTAAATAATTTTGATTTAAATATTGCTGATTTAAACTGCATTGCTGTTGGTCTGTCATTCCAGCCTCCTTTGCTTCGTACTAATGCAAAAAAAAAAATTATAAACAGTCCTGATTAAATTGAACTGTGCAAACATAAAAAAAAATCCTCATGAAGCAACTTGTTTGCAAGACAAAGATTATTAAAAATAGTGACATCTAAACCCCAATGACTGGATATACTTTTTTAGCTGCGAGCACCAGTAAAATGCCAAACCTTAATCCAAACTTTTAAATTTTTAACCTTTTGTATAAAACTACTATTTAGAGTTAAAGCAGAGCATGTTGATTTATCTGCTTTTAGTTTATGAGAATTTAAGATGTCAAATAAAATATCCATATTTATAATAAAAAAGGCTGTTGACAAAACATTTTCAGGCAATAGTTTTGCAGAAGCGTATTCAGTCAAAGCAGTAGCAACTTGACTACTAAAAATTTGCGTTGCCAATTTTACTAGCATGGCTATTAGTAATCCTGGATCTAAATGACGATCTGTCAACTTTGGCACAAGTCGCACAGCATTAATCTTGTCTAAATTATAAAGTTCTTCCAGATGCTTCCACGATATTATTTTACCATCAGATAAAATATCATGTTTTATTAAATTGTTTCTAACATTTTTATAAGATGTGGTGAATCAAATATTATATAAACTTTTGCTCCTGTAGTTGGATGTAAAATTTGTTGTTTTAATTTTAAAACACTTGAGAGCACTTGTTGACAAATCTTAACTTGAGATGATAAATATTTATTCTTAAAAGTAGTTTTGACAGTTACATTATTTGTACTCTATTCTCTTTATATTTATAATTCAACTTTATCATTGATTTCTTTTTTTTGTATTTTCTTTTGTAAATGAAGTCTGTTTGTAGGCTGTTTTTTCTTAAATTAAAGATAGAAGGTTGATTTGGAAAGTTAAAAATTGTTAGTACAGCAGTAACAAGTGCTCTTTTACTACCATTATTGGCAAGATAGTATTGAAAAGAATCAAAATGTTCACAACAAATAGTATATTTAAGTTTAAGTTCTTCACATGATTTTGTATCGAGATCTTGACGACGGCAATTACGAACCCAAAGCTTGCATCTAAATAACAGGTTAAACCTAATTAATTTAGTGGACTTATTTACATCATATATGTATAAATATTTTTTGTTTCATAAAATTTAAAGTAAAACAATGTTTTAAAAGCTTCTTTAAATTCTTGATATACTAGTAATGATAAATAATACTAGTCATAAATTTGATTTGACTAAAAATTACTAACCTATTTCTATCCTTTGGAAATCTAAAAAAAGATATATCATTTCCAACATTCTTTCCACGCTTGTTTACACAACTGATGGCTGAGCAAAAGGCTTGCATATTTAGTATTGTGAGTATTTATAGAAAAAGCAACTTAATTCTTGAAGAACAAAATCTAATATTATAGTATATAATATATTTAGCAGACAACAAAGATATATAGTAAATGTATGTTGTTTATAATATGGTCCCGCAAGACATCCCATAATTCAATGTATGGCCAATTACACATAAATATATGGATTTTTAGTCGTGTTGGCAGGCTTTGATTGTGTTTGAATTAACTTGATAAGATATGAAAAAAATGTTTTTTTAAAATTTTTTTATTGATTTTTTTATTAATAAAAAATTATAATTTTCAAGTTCCAAATATGTTATTTAAATCTAATTTAATAATATTTAATGAAAAAATAATTTGGACACATAATGGGCAATTTGACCAACTGTGTAATGGGGTAAAATAAGGGAGTTTCAATTGAGCAAAATGAGTTCTCTCCAGGGTGTCTAAAATTTAAAAAAAATGTTTGTCAGTAGCTCAGTATGACAACCAGACAGGTTGTTACTTACAAAATTGTATTTATAAATGAAACTATATTTTTATCTATAAAGATTTTATTCCTTGCGATTATTTAAAAGAAATTTTTAAAAAACATATAAATTAGTATACACTTTGTTTCACAATGAATACACTATGGTACATTAAATAATTTTACCAAACTTTATAAAAAGAAGCGAACACACAATCTATTATTTTGAAGTGCTACTGTACATTTTTAAAAAATATTGTTGTTGCATTTTGAAGCACGCTTCTTCTCAATTTAAAATGAGTTTTAAAATTACAGTTTCTTTTATTTCCAAATGCTATTGTATCATTTTTGAAACCTTATAGTCGCAATCATTAATAACACTGAATCTCTTTTGTTTTTCATTAGTAGAATAGTTTTTATTTTAACTTTGTCAAATAAAATTAACATAATAAAAAAAATTAAGATGCATGTGAAAAATAGTCATTAGAACTCAATGATGCAAGCGGATATTCTTTTTTTCTGAAAAAAAAAAATTAAAAACATGTTTTAAACATTCAACTAAATTAAATTTGATTGAGAGAGAATAATAAGGCATGCTATTGGAAAAATCTGCCCACCTTTTGCGATGTGGTAAAGCTAGTTAACAGTCGTTTTTTGAAATTATTTTATTGTGTGTGGTAGTGTTTGTATAATAGAACATTTTGGCAGAAAAAAATAATTAAAAATATTATTTAGTTTCAAAATGTGAAACTAAACAAAGATTTTTGATTGTTGGCAAACACTTAAAAAATCCAACTTTATTGAATAGAAAGTTGGCGAAATCATTCAAGAAGAACTGTAGATACTGTTCTTAAACAGTTTACAGAACAGAAAACTATTCAGAGAAAACAAGGAAGTGGTAGAAAAAAACGCACAGCAAATCCTAGAGCTCTAGAACGGTTGGAGACTTCATTGGAAGAACATCCTGATTGGTCTGATAGATTTCGAGCAAAAAACTAAAGGTTTCAAATTTTTTTGTACACAAATGGCAACAGAGACTTGGATATCAAAGTTTTGAAGTAGTTAAAATGCCAAATCGCAACGATAAACAAAATTCAACCGCAAAGAGTTGAGCTCGAAAGTTGTATGACAACTTGTTAACAAAACATAATGGATGCATTTTGATGGATGACAAAACTTATGTTAAAATAGATTTTAAACATATTGGGCAGCGCTATTATGCTTCTAAAATAAGAGGAAATGTGAGTGATAAATACAAGTATGCAATGACTGATAAATTTTCGAAAAAAAATTGATGATTTGGCAGGCACTTTGCTCTTGCGACAAAAAATCGCCAATTCATGTTTGTTTGGGCACAATGAAATCTTCGGAATACGTGAAATGTTGTCTTTCTCGTATAAAACAACTAATTAAAGCTCATAGAAGTACTTCAGCATTGTTTTGGCCTGATTTAGCCACAATACATTACTCAAAAGATGCTCAAAAGTTTTACGTTGATAATGGAATGATGTTGGTTCCGAAAAAGATGAATCCTCCCAACTACCCCAAATTATGTCCTATTAAAAAATATTATGCCATCATAAAAAAGAAATTGAAATTAAGTGGAACAACAGTAAAATCAGCTACAGATTTAAAGAAAAAATGGGATTACGCTGCTAAAACTTACAAAAATCACTCTGTCCAGAAACTTATGGCATCAAAAAGATCAGAATTTTCTGTAAAACTTAATTTAATTTTATTTTTTCCCTATTAATATGTAATCTTTACAGACTTAATTTTTCAGAAATATATTGATTTAAATACATTTAAGCTTTCTTACATTCTTTTTTCATCAAGAAAGGTGGGCAGATTTTTCCGATAGCATGCCTTAGAATAATTTTCTATATTTCTATATTATATAGATATATATTATTAAAATATTTTTTTTTTGCAGTTTTGGCTTTCAACATCAAAATAAAAGTTAGGATAAATCAAGTTTTTAATGTTAAAATTAAAAGTCATAAATAACTTTAATATTTCTTACAAGTGTGTTCTGTTGCAGAATTCTCTTTTTTGTGTGTCTTTTATATTTTCTGACTAGTAATCTGTGTTCAATCAAAATATAAAAAAAAGTATTATCTGTGTATCTTTATCTTTACTATAAATAAAATACATCATTCAAAGTAGCACAGTAGGCAAAAAATTTGTTTTTAGCTATGCTTTTATTTTCAGCTATTTTTAATGTACAGTACACACAATAACACAAAAGGCTTTCTAATAAAAAATGAATCGTCTTATTATAAATCCTCAAATTTTGCAAAAAATTTATATTTCTAGTTATATTTCTGGCTCCTGATAATCTTAATAGCTTAATGTTAATGCAATTAAAACATTTGCCTTTTTCTTGAATAGTTTGTAAAAAGCTCCATCAAGAATAACTGTAGAGAAATAAACGTGTGTTTTGGTCATTTGTATAATTTTAAAAAATTTTGAAAAGTTTTGTAAAAATAATTTTTGAGATTAAGATTTCAAATAATCAAAAAACTTTCAGATTTCAAATTATCTTGGTATTAAAGTTATGATTACAATGTCAAAATTAAAAAATTATAGGTTGTCATAGTTAAAAGTCAAAATTAAAAAATCATGGTTTATGGTTTTAAATCTTAAATAACACTGTGGTTAGCCCATCTTTAGCAGATAATTGTTTTATCTGTAGCATTTTATGTGAAACGGTCAACCATTTTATCTGTACCAGTTAATCACTAAAAAGTTATTTGAGAAAATTTTGAAGAATGAAAAAGAAATTTTAAAGAAAAATATCAAAGAATAAGTATGAATTAAAGGAGGGAAGTATGGAACTGGTTTAACAATTTACAAACATTTGCTTATATATATGCTTACAGACACATTACAGTCATACCAAAAAATTTGTTTTGAGTTATTGTGTTATTGTTTATTTTTTATTTTGTAGATATATTGCACTTAATTATTGTAAATACCTTGGAATACATAACAAGAATCACATAACAGTTGAGAAGAATGAATTATGTGAACAAGTTTTTACACAAGTCACTAAATTTCCAGACTCGAAAAAAATTAAAGAGCTTGCAGAGCAATCAAGTTGGAAAGAAGCAAAAGTAGCTAGCTGGTTTAGGAAGCGCAGAGCTGTTACACATTCTCCATTATTATCTAAAGCTACAGAATCTTGCTGGAGATTTTCAATATACTTATTTTTGTTTCTATTTGGTTGTTACACAGTGCTAACGGAAAATTGGTTTTACGATACAAAGCGTTGGATGGAAGGGAAGCTTATCAATGTAAGAACAGCTCTTTTGTGTTTTTTTTAAATAAATGTTATTAAAAGTTATGATAAATAGTTAATACTCATCAACAACTAATTTAACATAAGAAATGCTTATGTATAATTTGTCTTTTTTAAGTTCTTGTAATTATAAAAATAATAATATTAACAAGATAATAAATACCAAAAGTCAATATCTAGTTAGGCCATTTTCTAAATAAAAAAAGTCTAGCTAGAACCACAGTTGAAGTAAAAAACAAGATGAATACAAAAGTTAATCACAACCTTTGACTTTTGCATGATCATTTTTAAAATAATTGAATAAGAGCAAAGTAATTTAAACGTAGGAGTAGTAGCTGAATATATTAAACCTCTAATATAAAATTAACTAATTAAAATATAATAAAAATCTTCAATTGGTTAAACATTAAATAATTCAAGTAAAACTTTGACTGTTTAAACATTTTTTATATTTTATCAGCCCTTTTTAACAGCCCTCGAAATTAGGGTTCTAACTAGCAGACCTAACTGCCGACCTTGAATTGACCTGAATTCAACATAAGTTTTTGCAACAAATGTGATAATTGCAAAAATTACAATAAATATATGAATGATTTATAGATAAGTTTAAAATTAATAATTTCAAGTTAGGGTGTTATTTTTATAATTTAATAGCAAGCCTTCCCAGGAAAGGCGTGCGGGTTTTTTTTTCTTGTATGACCACACGCGATTACACTATTTTAGAAAATGTGAACATGGCCATTTGCAAGTTTTATAATAATGCTGAAAAAGGTTCCAAAACAAAACTAACAAAATAAAAAGAGATTAAAATAGAAAAAAATAAAAACAAATTAATAATTTAAATAATTTGTGTACTGTTTTTATTTTTGTTTCTTTAGAGTTACATTCAACAACAAAAGTTAGATAAGGCAAAGCAAAAAAAAAAAGCAGTTTGAAGTCTACAATAAAAATAATGATTTTCCTTTTCTTAATTTTTTTTTAAGAGAATAGCAAAAATACAAATTGCAATGTGTTTGTAAAATTTATTTATATAATTTTAATGTAACAACAAGGGTTGAATTAAGCGAATGCAAAACGCAAAATCTGGAAAAATATCTAGTATTCAAAATTTTAGTTTATAAAAAACCGTGTTCCTTGTTTTTAAAGGGAGAATCAACTTAAATTTGTTAGCGAAAAAAAAAAAACAATAAACTTACGATTACAAAAGTAATAACACTCTAGTCACTAACTGCATTACAAAAGTAATAACACTATAATAGTGTTATTATTTTTATAACGCACGTATAACTTTTAAAATTTACTCTTTGTTCAAGCAACATTAGTATTCCCAAATTTTAATTGAAGTAGAAAAATATCTAAAAGAATAAAGTAGATGTTCAAATAATACCAAAACTAAAGTAACTTATGACAAATAACTTTATGAAAATGTATTGTATTAAAAGTTTAGCATTATGAAAAACATTACTAATGGACCGTAAAAACACGCGTTAATTTTAAAATTAACTAACAAAAATTTTTTATTGGTTGATTTTAAAATTAATGCGCGTTTTTATGTAACATTTTTCATAATGCTATACTTTTTATAAAGTACTTTTTTATAACGTTGTTTAAGTGATATGTGCAAGTTCCTGAAATTTTTTTTATAATATTTGAATATCTGCTTTATTTTTTCTAGATGCTTTTCTACTTTAATAAATGTTTGGAATTAATAATATTGTTTGAACAAAGAATGAACTTTAAAAGTAATAAGTGCTTTATAAATGTAGTAACACTATTATAGTTTTATTACTTTTATAATTCAGTTAGTGACTAAACTGTTATTACTTTTGTAGTTGTAAGTTTATTGTTTTTGTTTTGTTTTTTGTAACTTTCTCGCTAGCAAACTTTTAATAATTTGCTTATAAACAAAGTACACAGCTTTGCATGAACTAAAATTTTAAAGACCTAATATTTTACCAGAGATTGCAAATCCCGGTTGTATAATTTAACACTTGATATAAACTTGTTACATTATAATTATACAAATATATTTTACGAACAGATGATGATGCCTATTTTCTCTTTCCTCTTAAAAGAAAAAACACATTAAATATGGGAAAGTCATCCTTTTTAACGCCTAAAACCGTTTTTTTATTTTTTATTTTTTTATTTTTTGCTTTGACTTAATGAATTTTGTTGTCAATAATAATAACCACTAAGAAAAAACAAAAATAAAAACAACACACAAATTATTTAAACTATTGTTATTGTTTTCTATTTAAGTTCACTTTAATTTCTTAAGTAGTTATTAAATTTAAAACAATTTAAGTAGTTATTAAATTTAAAACAATAACATTATTAATTAACATCAGCAGTTTTCAAAATGATTTTGATGAGTTTTTTTTAACTTTAGAGATCGAAGTTTCGACTTCAAAAAAAAAAATTGACCACCAATTCCATATCTTAGCCGGTCAAATTGACCTCTCGCCTTGGATTTTTTATTAAAGTATTGAAAGATATTTATTTCAAATTCACAGTGAGCAAGAATAGTCAATTTTGAAACAAAATTATTTAAAAATTATTAAAAAATATTTAATTAATTTAATATTATTACTGTATTCACCAAATATTGTAAGAGTACCATAATGAGGTCTGCCCTCTGTAATTTAGAATAAAACAAAACAAACAGAACTCTTAACTTACATATCAGTACAATATAAATGTTCTAAAACTCCTAATGGGAATTTTTTTTTCTATTGCTGTTTTTTCTTAAATTGGACATCAATGGATCAGAAGTGCCCAATGCTCATTATATTACATCTTCATTGCATTTTGATTGACTTTTTTTTTGAATGGTGTTGGTAATAACTCTTAAAATCTTTATTACAAGCCTCTTGTGCTTCCTCTGACATAAGACCAATAAGCAATATCATTTTTTCCACTATAATGTATTCATTTATCATGATAATGATGTTTTTTCCACTATAATGTTTCCATGTATCAATGTTTTATGCAGACTTTACCAGGAGTAACATTTAACAAAATATCTCCCACTTTCAAAATAATAATCCTGAAATTTTAAAATGTCTAATTCAAAACCACTGGAGATACAACAAAATATAACATGCAATCTGTCAATTAGCACTTTATCAATTCCTGTAATTTCACTAAATATGTCTTCATTTTAAAATGTTGTCCTGGCTGTATTATCATCATTAACATTCCCACAACCACCTGCTCTTGGTTGATCTACCATCAACCCAAGTTTATCCAAGAACTTTTTCTGAATTAAACTTTTTTGCTCCATTACTGGAATCTTGGTTTAAAATGATTTTGCTTAAAAAAATTTAATTTTTATTTCATTATGCATTCAAAGCACCTTATCTAAGCATGGAAACTTGAAAGACCATACTGGAAACCATGAGTGGAATGCTTGTTTTTAATAACAATTTTAATGTCAATCATTTCTGAGGGGTTACATCCACACAGTGTACATGACTGACTAAAATTAGTTGTGTTGACTGAGGCAGTGTGCACATTTCGATCAATCATTGTGATTTTGATATGGTTTGTAATAGATATTTTTTGCCCTTCGAAAACAATGGTGGATGGAATCAAATTTGTTGTTTCATTTACTTTCAAAATAAAGAATTTTTTATTTTGATAAATTACAAGAACTGATATCTGATAATTTTTGCTTATAAATGCTTTGACTAGTTAACTCATCAAATCCAGCTGTGTAATATAGCATTGTTTTAAAACTCAAGAGACAAAATAACTTCTCTCTGTAATACTACTAATCTTTTACTAATTTTTTAATTAATTTTCCCTTATAATAAACATGTTAATCATTTATTGTATAGATGTGTTCACTTGTGTTCCAAAAAGTATTAGGTTATATATATACCTCTATAATAATTGTAATAAAGATTTTTTACACATTATTTTAATCAAAAGAAAAAAAAGGTATATTCGTATTTTGTTATTATTGCAAAAAAGTAATAAGCTATAAACATATTTCAAAATTTACTAAAAGAAGCGCCGCAAATAAAATTAATTTTAAATTTGTGAAAAAATAAAATTGAACATTTTTTTAATTGAATTTTTATTTGTTTAAATATCTGAAAATAGCGCTTCTTTAATTTGTAACTGTAAAAATAGTTTTTGAATTATCAAAAAAAACAATATCCATTTTTAAAAGCATGATATATACTATACATGTATTAAAAAGTTTTTTTTTAAGAACATAACTTTTTTGACTTTTGTTACAGTCTGGTTGATTGTGCACTTATTTATATTTTAGTAATAAGGTGAATCATTTAACTCAATAAGAAATATTCACAATTAAATATAAAAATATTTTGTGGTACTTTGTTTATATTTAGCTTTTTTCAATATTTACCTTTATACTTAACAACAAGTAACTTTTTTCAATATTTACCTTAACAACAAGTCAAAATCATAACTATTACTCTCCGCTGCTCAATTGTTACTCTCCGCTGCTCAATATATACTCTCCGCTGCTCAAAATCATAACTATTACAATCCACTGCTCAATTAAAGTTTTTTAAACATTTTTTATTCAACCATTATTTTTGACTGTGGTTTCAAAGGACAGACAATCAACATGGTCAATAAGCTTCCAGTCTTGTAAAGTTTTTTTGATTGATTTTGAAAGAGACTCAGCAGTGCCATCTTTTAAAATTACAATAGCCAAAAGTTGTGATTCTGTAAGAACTGGTGAACTGATTAGCCCACCTACTCTTTCAACTTTCTCTTTACCAAGACTTTACTTTCTTTTGTTTCTACTATAGTTTTTGAGTCAAAATGCACTGTAAGACTTTTACTATTTATCTTAAACATTACAATCAGTTTTACTTGACTTTTTCTACCTCAAAATACGTTTAGAAATAGAATAATCATCTGTCTTTCCAGAACTTTTATTTACAAGTGAGGCAAGAGTTGATTGAGGCAAGAGTTGCACTCTGTTGAACTTATTCCATATTGTAATGCTATTGGAGCTAAATCTTTTCGAATATTTTTTGTAACAAAAAGCGAAACAGAATTAGATTTTTCAATTTTTTATCAAAGTATTTAAACATTTTGTTGTGTCTTCAAATTTTTCCTTAACTCTTTCTGTTTTCTTATGGACTCTTTTGTTTTTTTTAAATTTTTATTTATTTCTCTTTTTGTTTTTGTTTCTTACAACTTTTCGTGAAATTTTATCTTTACCTAACATTTTTTGAACTTGTCTTCCTTTTTGGTCATTTGCCTAGTTTTTAAATCTTTAGTTTTATCTTCACAATTTTTTTGACTTGCATCAAATACCTCCTCTAGCATTCTTAAAAAAAATTTTCTTTTTAAAACTAAATTAAAAAATTAGAAACTGTTCCTGTGTTTGTTTATATCTTTTCTCCTCTTTTTTAAGTCAACAATCTTTTCTCTAAATAAAACAAAAGTAGAAGAAATCATTATTAATTTAGTAATTCATTTTAAATGTAAAAACTTTTATGACCTAATTTTTTTTACCTAATAATTGTTATCTTAAAAGTATAAAGCATATTTTACTTATATAAAGTCAATTTAAAATTGCTTAAACTATAAATTAAAAAGGATTTTAGTATAAAATACACTTGATAAGACTTGATATCAGTATAACAAAAGCAATATTGCTTTTGCCAAGTTTTCTTCATTTTGAAAAGAACACACATTTGAAAAGGACACACATTAACATTTTTGAAGACAACTATCTATTTTAGCACATTAAGCAGTAAAAAAAATCACTAAGTGGACATATTAACTGAAGAAATGAAGAAAAGTTGTATAAACTGAAGAAATGTTCAGGAAATCAGCTCTTAGCATAAGGTTTCTATAATAATAATATTGAAATACAGTTTTCTTAGTTGGCAATTATGTGATAGGTATTGTTCTAATTCTTTTGCCAACAAGAAAAACTTCATGACGAGATAATTTTTTGCAACTATTGCTTGTTTACATTTTTTTTATATACACTAAAATCAAAAAATTTTAAAGTTACAGAACTTAACTCCCCTCTCTCCCAAATATACATAACAGGTATTCAAATGACCATTCCCATCATCTTTTGCAAAAAAAAAAACACATCTAAAATCAGATATATCATGCTACAAAAATAACCATTTTGGTATTTTTGAAATATTTGTAAGTGACTCTGCCCCCTCGATGTGATAGATAGAGCAGACTTTTGGACCACACATTTTTGAACCTTGTCTAGAAGAGCAAGAGCATTATAAAAAGAACCAGCCCAAATATGACAGCAACATTCCATACAGCCCAAATATGACAGCAACATTCCATACAGCCCAAATATGACAGCAACATTCCATACAGCCCAAATATGACAGCAACATTCCATACAGAGATGTATAAAAGATTTGTGAGTTAGACAATGGAATCAGGAGTAATAAAATGGCAAATGCGATAAAGAGAGGTAACCTTAGCTGATTTTAATTTAGCGATCCAATGTATATATGGTTTTCATAAAGGTCAGTAGTAAACTATAATCAAAGAAAGCATAAAGAGGACTCAGTGAGAGGGTTGCCATTCATTAATATAGGAATTTCAACAGTATTGCGATTGTTGTTTGCAGTTATAATAGGTAATAATAGGCTAGGTTTCCTCCAGTATTATATTGGAGGGAATCGAGCCCTAACCCTTAGTCTGACCTTAATTCTGATTGTTTCCACCGACAGTATGTTATAAGAGAGTTAATATATGTACTTTTCACTTTTTCTAAAAGTATCTTACGTAGATTGCTTTTTTTACTAAAAAAATATACTTAAGTTTACGGGTACACAAAAAATGTACCTGATAATCTGTTTGTCCCTGTAAGTATACTTTTTTTTAAAAATTTGTCCCCGTAAATGGTACTACAGCGGTGTGTGTGTATGTGTGTGAGTGTGTGTGTGTGAGTGTGTGTGTGTGTATATATATGTATATATATATATGTGTGTATATATATATATATATATATATATATATATACATATATATACACACTAATCAGGTGGGCTAATCAGTTCACCAGTTCTTACAGAATCACAACTTTTGGCTATTGTAATTTTAAAAATGAACGTCATGTTTCCTTACTTACGCAAACTAAAAGTGGTTTCTAAATGTCCATGCCGTAGTATTATGGTTTTGTGCATCTCTTTATATATCCTTCTTGTTCACCAGTAATTAAATATCTACTTGTCACAAAAGTTATTACGGAGCTTTTGTTTCAATAATTATCTTTTAAACATGTTCAATTTAATTTTAAATATGACAAATAAGGAAGTTCTATCAGTGCAAAAATAATTATCAAAAGTAAACATTTACTCACGAAAAGATAGAATTTTATACATTTGATGAATCAATAATGTTATAATATATTTAATGAATGATTATTGAAAGGGATAATAATAGATTCATGCTCAAAGAGGGTGTGGGGTATGTTACAAACACAATATTCAAAAAGGTTCAGGGTATGAATGTGTAGAATGCAATGTAGGACTTTTCGCAGCTTCTTGCTTTTTACAATTATCATACAAAAGGTGTATATTAGTGAATACATTTTTAAAATTTTGTGTATATGTAGTATATCTTAAACTTGAATAATAACATTTTGTAGTGTTTAATAATGTTAAAAATAGTAAAAACATTTTTTATTCTATTTGTAAAAAAAACGATGAATTTAAAAATACGGGACATTTAGAGACCACTTAAAAAAAAGAAGCTGGACTATTCGCAACCGTTTTTAAAAAAAAACACGGGACTGTTAAAGGGTTAAAATTTTTAAAAACAGCCGCATAACTTCAGTAATTTTTTTTTCCAAATAATTATGCGATTGATAGTTTTTTATTTCTTTTAAAAAAGTACATTTATTATAAAAAAACAAAAAGTTACTAAAATTTAAAATGCATTTTTAACGAATTTAAAAGAAACATGCTAATACTTTCTTTAATAATGTTACTTTTAAGTTTAATAATTAAGTTTGCAGCTGATAAAAGTAGTTATCTTTTAGCATGGTTTTTGCATGTATTTACAAAAGCATGGGAAACTTTAGAATGAATGCATTTGCTATTACTTTTAAAGAAACCATGCTAAATTATTGCTTTCTTTAAAAACGCGCGTTTTTATTCAATTTTCTAATTATCGTTAAATTAAATTTATGTTTGCTTGCTCTTTTTAAAGTTTTGAAAAATGTTTTTAAGATTTGCAGAAATATATATGTAGTTTAACAGAATATATAGAACTATTATGATTATTATAGTTTTCATTTTCTACTATGTGTTTAACAACACCAATAATATAATATTTTATTAATAAATACTTAACATTATTAATATAATAATATCATATTAAGTATTTAACAATAACTTAATATATTAAGTTATTAAATACTTATTAAATTATTATTTTTTAATTTTTTAAAAAAGAAATGTCAAAACAACTTTTATTTTAAGTTTTCTTTTGTTTAAGTTTCTTTAAATTTTTTTATAAGGAAATAAATTTAACAAATTGTGTATTAATTGATAAATAAATTTTGTATTAATGAATAATAATTTACAGTCATATTGTATATGAGTAAAAATTAAAATGCGTACACTTTGCAAATGCATGAAAAACTGTTTTGAATTAATAAAAAATTTATAAAATTCAAAATGCATCTTTGGTATATCTAATTATTGTTTATCTTATTAACTAGAATAAAAGTTATTTGAAAATAAAACTCCCTTATAATTTAATAAAAATTACTTAAATAAAGAATAATAAAAATTGAAAGAATTAAAAATATAACTGGCTCATTCATGGCCGACGGCACAATTTTCAAAGTGGAGGTGAACAACCATCTATTTCTAAAAAAAAGTCCGCTTGAAAAAAAACCCCAAAGACAAGAGCCTTCAGAAAAAAAATGGGGTAAAGGGGCACGTGTCTCTCCCCCTCCCCCCCCCATGTTTTAAATATATATTTTAATAAAACAACAACAAAAACACCATTAATTAAAAAAAACTTTCTAGTCATTATTATTGCGTTTTTTTTAAAAAACAATAAAATTTAATGTACTTCCGCATTAATTTAATTGCTTTGACATTTTGACAACAATAAAATACAGCTTAAGAGTCTTGGTAGCAAAATTGTAATCGAAAGAGACTTTTTTTTATTATAAATGCCTCTTACCACTATGATATAAGGATATATACATATATATATATATATATATATATATATATATATATATATATATATATATATATATATATATATATATATATATATATATATATATATATATATATATGTATATATATATATATATATATATATATATATATATATATATATATATATATATATATCCTTATATCAGTATTAGGATATATATATATATCCTTAAATCAATATATAAAGATATATATATATATATATATATATATATATATATATATATATATATATATATATATATATATATATATATATATATATATATATATATATATATCTGGGGCTATTCTAGACTGTTTTCAACAGTGCCGGCTGTATTTAGGTGCTGATTTGGGCACTACTCAAATTCAGAAATTGAGGACTTTTTTTTTTATGGCATATATCGTTATTTTTGCAAAAAAATGCCTACATATGGCAAATTTCCTTATGAAAATGTGCCGGCACAGGGGGTACCGCCGCCCAAATCATTTTCTTAAAATAGCTTCTGTGTGTGTGTGTATATATATATATATATATATATATATATATATATATATATATATATATATATATATATATATATATATATATATATATATATATATATATATATATATATATTATAGCCATCTTTTAAATATTTTAAAATCTTGTAAAGTTTTTTTTATTGAAGAATAACTATTGTAGTGTAGTATAAAATGTTTATATTTAGCAAGACTTCACTACCTCAATGAGAATCTACTATTCTGCAGAGTTGGCATTTTACACTTCACTTTTATTTTCACAGTTTATTGATGTAAAAAGAAAGGTATTTTTAACAACACTAAATACTAAACAAAGCAAGCAGCTTAAAAAAATTTTTCCCAAAATATGAAAACTATTTATTAAGATATTGATCACTAATTTAGTGTTTTTTTTTTTTTTGTAAAGGATTTTTATCAAATGTTTCTTCATCATATTGTAACAATCATACTTATTCTGCATTCTGTGATGTCTGGTTTCACAAGAATTGGCGCTGTCATAATGGTACTTCATGATGCATCTGATATATGGTTAGAAGTAAGCTCTTTAATATAATGATTTTTTCTTAGAATTATTATTTATTTTAGTAACTAAGTTATAAAGTTATATTACTTTAATGTTGTTAAATATTATGTATTTAATTATGTTATTTTTTTCTGTAGTAGTGACAGTAGTTTACAACTCTTTTTTTTGTGGAAGAATGTATAGTAAAATTATACATAACAAGAATATTTAAAATACAACCTTCAATACAAGACTTTAATTATAATTTCATTTTAATAATCATCAATATGTTAAAAATGAATTAACTGTCAAAAAGAAATACAGTTAGTATGGAATGATTCAATAAATATAATACATACATACGTGCATACATACATACATACATACATACATACATACATACATACATACATACATACATACATACATACATACATACATACATACATACATACATACATACATGCATACATACATACATACATATATATATATATATATATATATATATATATATATATATATATATATATATATATATATATATATATATATATATATATATATATATATATATATATATATATATATATATATATATATATATATATATATATATATATAAACACTTACTAAAGCGCATTTTTATAAGCATTTGCTCACTTTTATTTCTTACCTTAACCCATACGGTTTTTTTAGAAAAAGAAGAAAAAAAAACGAAGAATAATGAATAAAATGATTGCTTCCCCATCCCAAACCCTCAGTCGATGTAGCAGCACTCCACTGCGAGTCAGGCTATTTGTCAGTCGATGTATGTACTAAAGTCCCAGCAGCAGGCTATTTCAGTATGACTTCATATATATATATATATATATATATATATATATATATATATATATATATATATATATATATATATATATATATATATATATATATATATATATATATATATATATATATATATATATATATGTATATGTATATATATATCTATATATATATATATATATATATATATATATATATATATATATATAATATATATATGTATATGTATATATATATCTATATATATATCTATATATATATATATATATATATATATATATATATATATATATATATATATATATATATATATATATATATATATATATATATATATATATATATATATATATATATATATATATATATATATATATATGTATATGTATATATATATCTATATATATATATATATATATATATATATATATATATATATATATATATATATATATATATATATATATATATATATATATATGTATATGTATATATATATCTATATATATATCTATATATATATATATATATATATATATATATATATATATATATATATATATATATCTATATATATATATATATATATATATATATATATATATATATATATATATATATATATATATATATATATATATATATATATATATATATATATATATATATATATATATATATATATATATATATATATATATATATATAAACACTAAAGCGCATTTTTATAAGCATTTGCTTACTTTTATTTCTTACCTTAACCCATACGGTTTTTTTAGAAAAAGAAGAAAAAAAAACGAAGAATGATGAATAAAATGATTGCTTCCCCATCCCAAACCCACAGTCGATGTAGCAGCACTCCACTGCGAGTCAGGCTATTTGTCAGTCGATGTATGTACTGAAGCCCCAGCAGCAGGCTATTTCAGTATGCCTTCTGATTGCTTACATATTATTATATATATGTATTTTAAAGTTATTATTCTTTTTAATACTACTTTTGAATGATTTTTTTTTAAATATATGTCTAATGATTGTTAAAGAAAATTTGAAGTCTTATAGTAAAAATTAAGTTTTCTTTATTTGTAATTTTTTCATTTATTTTAAGGCTGCAAAAGTTTATAACTATGCAAAAATGCAGAAGCTTTGTGATGGATTGTTTTTTTTATTTGCAGTTGTATTTTATTTGACCCGTTGGGTGTATTATCCATTTTGGTAGATTTTATTCTATTGATAATTTTTTATTTCTCTTTTTTTCGTATATATATATATATATATATATATATATATATATATATATATATATATATATATATATATATATATATATATATATATATATATATATATATATATATATATATAAAATACTTTTGAATTTTTTTTGTTGAATGCCTTTTAGGGTCATACATTGCATGATATATTATAGTTGGTCTGAACTTGGACCTTTTTTTGCTTACTATCAACTTGTTGGGTTTCTTTTTATTTTACAGGTTTGTTGTTGTAGGAATTATAAAATTCTAAGTTAACAATAGTTTATTGCAAGATGTTACTGTATAAACTATGATTATGGCAACCAAAAATATGTGAATGCATATTTTTTTTATGTAGCATTTAACAAATGCTAATAAGATGTTTATCCATTGCATTAAAAAATGCAGCTAAAACATTTTTTTAAAGCATATTTTTGGTTGTCCTTCTGCTTAATTATAAAAACTTTATACTAAAAATTATGATTTATATAATTTCTATGAGACATTAGAGAACCATTTTGTTTTACTTGAGTTTATTAATATTTTTAGGGATTGCATTTTTATTGGGGAATTTTGATTGGTAAAATGGTCTACAAATTTGCTGTGTTAGGAAAGGTAAGAATTTAAAAAAATAAAAATAAATAAAATACATAAAATACAGTGGTTACAAACATATAATACTTCCTTAAAGTGATTGGTATTGCAAGTGATTTCCAGCTAATTTTGTTAAATCTGAATTAAATTAATGTGCATCACTGTACACCCAGTGGGCATGCATTGTTCGCAGGCGTCCAGACAACGCATGGATGTCTGGACGTCCGCGAGATGTCTGTTACACGTTTTTTGGGCAATGCGTGCCGACTAGGGAGAAGCTAATTGCTATATGCTTCTAGCTTTAGCAACAATATTTAGTTAGTGAATTTGTAAATAACCTTTACCGTATTAAAAGAAAATGTTGATAAGTATTTAAAAATATTTATTTGATATTATTCTTAGTTATGTTGATGTTGTTGTTTTCAATTGTTGTATTTGTTTAATATTTACACTTATGTTGTGCAGGATGCAATTATATAACAAAGCTGTTGGTCTGAGGAGCAAAATGAACTAAATGAATTTTAAATCTAATTAAAAACAAATTATGATCAAAAATGGCATTTAACTTGCATAACATAAAAATAAGTCTTCCAACTTTTAGGTTGAATTTCTGTGAATCAGTTTTGATAATTTTATTAAAACTTTCAAAAGAATATTGTGAATTCAATGCTTATAATTAAATTAATGAAAACTGTTTTTAAAGTTGCTTTGCACTGGCCATGACAATAAATTGATAATATATTCAAACAGGTGAGGCTCATTAGTGTGAAGTCAACTAATCAAAAGTAAAAATCTGAAGTTAAAACTCTATTTAATTGTGACTAAGCTTATAATTTTTAGGTGGTAATTCTTCTAGTGACAGCATTATAAAAATATTATGTTCTATAAAACACCAAATAAGGCATCTAGTTGTAAAAAATAACCTTATTTATTCTGCAGTGGCATGTTTAAATTCACTAAATCTGAGATTTTATGGAACTAATGTGGCAGTCAAGTTTACCTGGTAAAGTGGTAACTTTATGAGAGCAAAATATGTTTTTAACATATTATAAATATCAGCTCTCAGAATTAAAAAAAATGGGGTCTGCAAAAAATTGTCGACCTCAAACTGTTAGAGATCCGCATCAGGTCAGTGAATATAAATTTGACACAAAGGGGTTACCATATAACATAGAAACGAGGTTGGCAATTTTTTGGCAACCTCAAATGCTTTTAGGTCTGCGTTGCCAAATGCCGAACCTAATTCCGAGGGCTGAAATATTGTTTTATTATCTTTATTTAATGTAATTTAAATTTATAGTAAACATTTATTTCATAAGAAGTATTTAAATTAACTAAATGGACTTAGCAAAGAACAACAAAAAAGAAGTATAAACATTATTAAAGCAACTTATTTGCTTAAGTAATTTTAATATATTTTGTCATGTGTGTATTTAGTTTATCATCATGATTTTAAAAATTTACTGATACATTTATTTCATGTCTAAGCATAAAAAACTATGAGTGCTCTAAAATATAATCATCATATAAAATTTATTACTTAAACTCAGTTTAAAAAAAAAAAATAAACAGTAGAAGTTAAAATAAAAACCAAGCGTTTCTTCAGTCTTTTATAAAATCAACTTCACTTTTTCCTTTAGAAGCTGTTTTTGTTTCACTGTCATAATATACTTGAATAGTTTTTCCTGAATAAATTTTAAGTTATTTTTGCTTACATTAACATCTATAATTTTTCTAACACTCTTTTCATCTTTTTTTTTTTTTTTCTTTTTTTTTTCAGTTTGATTCTAAACACATGATAATAACTTAATCAAATTAACCAGATTGGGTTCTATTAAAGTGAGAATTTTCTGGACCATGTTTTGTTGTATTCCATAAATGAATGCCTGGAGCGGCAGAACTTCTGTTTCCACAAAACATTGCTGAGAAGCCAACTTTATTGGTATTCATTATTCTCTCTAAGTTCTTCATTTCGCGTTTTTTATTTACTATTTATTTTACTATTTTTACTATTTATCTCCAGAATCATCACATAAAATGGCTACATCACGATTTTAAATGTTACAATGGAATTCCTTTAAGCTCATGTTTAATGTTTTCAAAATAAACATTTACTAGTTATGTAATATTTTATATTTAATGCAATTCTATGGGTTAATTTTAAATGGGTTTATCTAATGGAAATCCCAAAATAAAATATAACCATGATTCTAATTGAAACAAAATGCTACTTATGAGTGAATATGGTTGAATATGGTTGCTGCACCAATACACTTTTTATGATTTAAATTCATTTATTTTTTTGAAGCTTGACAAGTAGAGTTGACACTATTTAAAAAGAACAGTGTTAGAATATGTGTTGTAGTTATTTTTCCACCAATATTTTTGGTATGAATACGAGACATTATACTTACAACAAAAGTAAATATAAGTAACACAGACTCTGCAATTTGTAATTGTGCAGATAAATTATATCACATTAAATAAATAATTATCACATTAGTCACTTGTTGTACACTATTTAACTTTTTTTTAGATTTAATAGAAATATAGTTTCAAAAAATTAGTGGTAGAATAAATAATGATAAGACTATTGTAAAATGAGTAATATTTACGTGGTTAAAGTTACACCAAAGGATTATAAGCCTTTTTTTTTTTTAACCACTATGTATAAAAACCCAGAATATTGTTTTTTGAGCCAAAACAAAATTTGTATATCATATTTAAACATTTTTCTAGAAAATAGATAGAAAACTGTGTTGTTTGGTCAAATTTTTATCTTTGTTCAGACAACATTTTGTTTCTTATTTTTTAGTCGTATTCTTTGGGCTAAGTCTGAATTTGTTTTGTTCTTTCCCCAGCCATTTACATTTTATAATAACTAATTTTGTAAATTTTTCTTTATGGTGAAATACATAATGATAATAATAATAATAATAATAATAATAATAATAATAATAATAATAATAATAATAATAATAATAAGTTTCACCTTACAATTTATGCAAAAAGAATTGTTTTTACAAATAAGACAAAAGTCACAATTTATCTGTTTAAAAGTTAAATCTGTGAAACTAAAAACTTCAAAAATTTCCAAAGTTTCCCGGTTTTAATTTAATGTAAACTAAAATCGTTTACATTAATTAAATTTACAACTAGTATTTTAGCAATGTAATTTAACTCATCTAGCCTATGGGTTTTTAAGATTCACTCTTTGGTTTGCTCTTTAGTTTTAAGAAATAAAACCCATTCGAAATAATGAGTTTTTCCTTATGGTTTGTTTTTTTTGCAGACATTATTGATAAAGCTGAAAAACATAACTTTAACTGATATCTTATTGAATACATTGTGATATAGAAGAAGGAAAAGTGTTTGCAATTTTTTTTTAATTAAAAAAAATAGAATTAAAATTTTTGCTTTAAACTATTTTCAGCACTTGTTTTTAAGATTTACTCTTTTGGTTTGATATCTTTCAGCTATCTTGTTAAAATCTTTTGGTTTGATATCTTTAAGCTATCTTGTTAAAATCTTTTGGTTTGATATCTTTCAGCTATCTTGTTAAAATCTTTTGGTTTGATATCTTTCAGCTATCTTGTTAAAATCTTTTGGTTTGATATCTTTCAGCTATCTTGTTAAAATCTTTTGGTTTGATATCTTTCAGCTATCTTGTTAAAATCTTTTGGTTTGATATCTTTCAGCTATCTTGTTAAAATCTTTTGGTTTTATATCCTTCAGCTATCTTGTTAAAATCTTTTGGTTTGATATCTTTCAGCTATCTTGTTAAAATTTTTTGGTTTGATATCTTTCAGCTATCTTGTTAAAATCTTTTGGTTTGATATCCTTCAGCTATCTTGTTAAAATCTTTTGGTTTGATATCTTTCAGCTATCTTGTTAAAATTTTTTGGTTTGATATCTTTCAGCTATCTTGTTAAAATCTTTTGGTTTGATATCCTTCAGCTATCTTGTTAAAATCTTTTTGCTCTAAGGATTTTCTTTTCTTTGGAAGTTGGATTTCTTTTTAAGTAGACTATAAATTTAGGTTAATGTGTTTGCTGTGATACTTTATGTTCATTGCTTACTCTCGAGTTCCTAATAAACGTCCCCCCCCCCCTTGTTTATTAATTTTTGGATATTTTTCCCCACCCACCCTAAGCTTATTAAGACCCCCCCCCCCCCCCCTCGTTTATTAATTTTTACTTGCTAACAAAAAAAATATATCTCAAAAAGTATATCTAAAAAAATATATCTCAAAAGTAAAAAAAAAAAATTCAGTAAAAATCGGCTTTAAAAATTTGAAATAATTTTCAGTCACCGATTAAAAAAAAAAACTTTCAGAGTAAACAGGTTTTACAAATTGCTAAAAATGAACTTTTATTTATTTTTCAACAAAGCTTTGGTTTTAATTATAGGATTTAATATGCTGAATATAAGTTTTATACTTAGCAAAGTATAAAACTTATATCAGCATATTAAATCCTATTGAAATTATGATAAAATAATCTAACCCTACTCTAACAGCTGTTAGAAAATGCGCTTTTGACCGCATGTCAAATGCGCATTTGACTGCATTTGACATGCATAATTTGCATGCCGAATAAACGGGGGGCATTTTCAATGCCCCTCCTCCTCCTCCTAACCCCCCCTCCTTCCCTTGTTTTTTAAAATTTTAAACCTTCCCCTCCCACCTCCATGCTTATATTAAAACCCCCTCGTTTATTAAATTTTGACTAAAATTCCCACCCACCCGTTTATTACCGCCCCCCCCCTTCCCGTTGTATTCGGCACTCGAGAGTACGGTACCTCGTTAGTAAACGATGAACTATATTGAACAATCTTTAATAAAATGACATATGAGGCCTTAAAGGCGTCAATTAGCTTTTGATCTTTGTTAATTTAGTTTTATAAATTTATAGGTTGGTAAAGATGATCGCAGTGATGATGAAGAATCTGATGACAACTCTCGTATTAACAAAAAGAAACTTTAATTCATTAAATGAAATATCCTTATACAATGATAGGTATTATATATATATAGAGAGAGAGAAATATATAGAAATAGAAATTAAGATAATATATAATAAATATTAAGAGTAATATAATAATGCATCTAAATAATATTTTTTTGTTTTCTGATATTTGCTCCAAATTTAACAAGATTTTATGTTTGTTTTTATGATAAAAAGATTTTATGTTATATATATATATATATATATATATATATATATATATATATATATATATATATATATATATATATATATATATATATAATATATATATATATATATATATATATATAGTTTGCAAAGAAAGAAAGATACAAATCTAGAAATAATATATTTTCAACCAAATGAATATATTTGTGATTTTTGTGGGTTTTTTTTTTTTAATTTTTTAAGGAAAGTTTTTATTTTTTATTTTCTGATATTACATTTTGTAGTGAATCACGAAATTTAAAAGAGTTTTAAAATTATAAAATATTTTGTCGAAAACGTGTTTATTACTCTTACATTTTTTTACATTTTATTTTTTATTTTTAAATTTTACTCTTTTTCAAACTTTTTTAATGTACTAAATATTTTTCATTTAAATGTACGTGTTAAAATGTATGAAGCTAAAAGTAAAAAATACAAGTGAAAAAAAAATCCATTGCTCGTTTCACATACATCTTTTATAGAATTCTAACTACACTTGCATCTATTTTACAAAAAGTTATATTTAGCATGTGTGTGTTTGTGTGTTGAACGTGTGTTGTGTGTTTTGAGTGTCATTAAAGGATTTGCATTAAGTGTTTACTTAAGAAGTTGTGTTAAGCATGTGTGTGATGAATTTTTAAATCAAAATAAAAGATTTTTTTATGTTTAAAAACGTGATTTGTGTTTTGTCCCAGTTACTTTCTTTTAAATGTTAGTATTGGTTAGTATTTCCATCATTTTTATAATAAACGTGTGTTTTTATAAAAAAGCTTTTGATTAAAATGGTTATAAATGTTCAAATACATTGTGTAAATTAGCAATAAAAATGTTCTGTAAATTTTAAATTTAGTTACAAAAGTTTTTTCACTATGTTATATTTTCGTTTCTGCATTGACAATATACCACAAAATTGCAGAGAAATTTCTTGTCGTAAATCTTTACAAATTTATCTTTTACTGGAATTGCCACCTGAACGCTAAAACTGCCATTAGAATCCAAAAACTGGAAAAATGCACACGCACAGTCAGATTTAAAATGCTAAAAATTATATTACCATCGGAAAAAACACCTGATGTATTAATATTATTATTTTTTTTGTGTCAGAGAATTTAAATTTGTTGTTAAAAATTATTTTTACGGGTATTTAAGATGCATACTACGTACTCGTACATCTGTTTTAGACTTGTAAGAAAATATTAATGAAAATACTTTGGTTCCACGATTGAAAATACGATATAATAGTATAGCACACGTTTTGAAAATATGTTTTCGTGTATCCTAGGCGTATATGCTCGTTAGAGTCTTACGTGCGCAAAAGCAAACTAAAGTAAAAAAACAGTTTTTTTCTTAAATAAAAACGTGCAGATATCTTATAGCTTATTATCGAGGAAACAAATTGTAGTTTCATAGTAACACAAATCAAAATATTGCCTTAAAGCCGGAGAAAGGTGATCCTAGGGTGGAGCTCAGTTCTAGTAGAATAAATGTTGATATTTATATCTACCACTTTTCCCGTTATACCTAGTAAACTTTTTCTATAATTGGAGTTGCCAAAACCTTGTTTAAACAAATTTAATTATAAATTAGTTATAATTAGACGAGAATAATATCGTAACCTTAAACAACTAAGTATTTGGTTTTGGCATGCATTTACAAACAAATGAACTGAAACAATGCAGAGTAGAAAGTCTTTATTATCTTAGTCTTAGTATCTGTCTTAGATATTATCTAAACCTATATAAAAAAAAGACTTTCTATTTCATATCATATTACATCATATGATCACTACTGAACTAATAATTTTACTGGGTTTAGTTTCTCAAACATAGGGCATTTAATAAGACGACTAACCTAAAAAAGTAACTTGAATTTTTTTATTCCAAAAAATGTTTTTTTTTTTTAAAAAAAAAAAATGCACTCTTTTATTTTTATACTTTTAATCCTTTTTTTTTTTTTTTCACAAATTTTAGTTGTAAGATCTTTTTATTTTCCTTTTGATTTTGAAGATGGAGAAATCTAAAGTAATTTTCCTTTTGATTACGAAGATGAAGGAATCTAAAGTAAGTTTTCTTTTGATTTTGAAGATGGAGGAATCTCAAGTAACTTTAAGTAGAAAGTGTTTAATTTAAACCATCCTAGTTCCCTAATTTTTAATTAAACTAAATCAATTGGTTGCTTCACAAAATTTACTTAAATTATTTTATATTATCAAAATTATTTTAAAAAATAATTATTTGCAATAACGGAATATTACGAAAAGAAAAAATCAATTCATTTTAAAATAACATTTGCATTTAAATTAAATTTATTTTTATTATATTATTAAAATTATCAAAAAAATTTATTTGCATTTAAATTACTAATATGGTTGGTGTTTCTAAGTCAGAGTTTGGCACCAAAGAACAACTAAATAAAAATATGAGAGAACTAAACGGAGAATTTACAAGTGATAACGAGAAATTTTATATAGAGACCCGCCGAGAGCTAAATATATATAGGAGCAAATAGTCACCCATATAAGAAGGCATTTTTTTAAATCAAAAGTTTATACAATAAGACAAGTAAATGATTCTTTTTTTTAATACTGTTAATTTACATCAACATTTTTCAAAAACCGCATCTGGATAAAAAACAGATGCGATTAATTGCTAAAATCATCATATGATATTTTGATAAGGAATTCAATGCCGTTACCCATTTGTGAATGTTTGACTAGGTACTCACGGCAGACGTTACACCCGAGTTTATGGCAAGAATCATCGAACTTTCGCCTTAGTGTCCGAAGTGGTTGCAGCATTCTGAAGAGGATCGCCTTTGTTCAAATCCTTGCTTGTAAAAAAGTGTATTGCACCAAAATCTCCTTAACTTTGATTTGAAGCATTTATTTGCCGTTTTATTAAGCTATTCATTGCATTCCGTCTTGTTTTTTAAACATTGTTAAAAATTGTCAGTTTAGTGTGATTTAGTGGCCGATGTACAATTTGAGGGTTCAAGTCCTGTCGCTTGCATATTCAATTTTTTAAATCTTTTCCAATTTTCTAAAATATAAATTAAAACATTTTAAAGTTCTATTGTTGATATATAAAGATATAATATGCTAATAAACAAAAGAGAGAGAGTTTTTAAAAAGCTCAAAATTGTAATACACTTCAAAACAGCGCGCTGTTTTGAAATTTATTACAATATTAAGCGCAAAAGGTTTCTCCGCTGTAGGGGAAAATCTTTTGCGCTTACGTCACGATATAGATACTTTAAGTTTTACTATTGCTCAAGGATCCTTTCCAGACTCTCTAAAAGTAGCAAAAATTACTCCTATTTATAAATCAGGTGACCATTGTAACATTACAAATTGTCATCCTATTTCAGTTATTCCGGTTTTCTCTAAAATACTAGAAAAAATAATGTATAACAGAGTCTACAATTATTTTGTTGATACTAAACTTTTATATAATAATCAATTTGGCTTCCAGAGAAACTATTCTACTGAACACGCCATACTTCAACTAACACCCAGCATTTCTGATTATTTAGAAAATTCTCATTATACCCTGGAGTTTGTCTAAAGCTTTTGATACTGTTGATCACGACATTCTAATAAAAAAAATTAGAACTCTATGGAATTAAAGATAAATCCCAAAGCTGGTTCAAAAGCTATCTTAGTAATCGTAAGCAGTTTGTTAATATCCAAGACTCTTCTTTGCGTTTATTAATGAATGTAACATGTGGTGTCCCACAGGGATCCATAGTTGGGCCCCATTATTTTTAATATATATAAATGACCTCAACAAAGCCTCTAACTTAACCACTATAATTTTTGCTGATGACGCAAATCTATTTCAATCTCATGAAAACATAAATACACTTTTTGATAATATGACACAAGAATTAAATAAAATCTCATATTGGTTTAAGAAAAACAAATTGTCCCTCAATATTGATAAAACAAAATGGACACTTTTTTACCCAACATCCAGAAAAAAATGTTTACCAAATACACTGCCTAACCTCTTCATTTCCAATACAATACTAAAAAGAAAAAAAGTTAGAAAACTTCTCGGAGTTCTTGTAGACGAAAACTTATCCTGGAAACAACAAATCGATAATATCTCCTTGAAAGTTGCTAAAAGTATTGGAGTTATATATAAAGTTCGGCATATTTTAAATAAACAACAATTAAAACAACTATATTATTCGTTTATCCACTGCCATTTAAATTATGCAAATATTATATGGGGAAGCGCGCACTAAACTAAACTTAAATCTCTTTATCAGCATCAGAAACACACATCTCGCTTAATTTTGAAAATCGTTTTTCAAACTCAAAACCACTTTTGAGAGAAATCAAAGCCTTAAATGAATACGAACTAAATGTTTATAATATTTTATGTTTCATATTTAAATGTAAAAATCATTTATCTCCTAATGTATTTATAAACCTTTATACTGTAAAACCCATAAACAATCTTCGCAATGCAAAAAATCTACAACAACCTTTCTGCCAAACTAAATTTGAACAACTAATTATTTCTTATCGCGGTCCTTATTTATGGAATAAAATGGTTTTGCCAAATTTTGATTTGTCATTGAAATGGACTTTAACTTCGTTCAAACGAAAATTAAAAGAAGTTATCTTTTCAGCAGAAAATATTTTTTCTTGTTTTTAGATTTTTTTGCTTCTCATATTTCATATAATTTATCCAGTAATACTGAATAAATTATATGAAATATGAGAAGCAAAAAACTAAAAACAAATATACTGGCAGTATAAATATACTGGTAGTATATTTATATTTTAAATGCACAGTTATATATAGTTTATGTTGATTTTTATTGCTTAATTTGATTTTATTGTTATTATTATTATATTTGATATTGTAAAGGGCTTCATGATAAGATCGTAATATCTTCTGGAAGTCGATTATATTTGTAATAAAGCTATTCTGTAATTTTAATTTCTTTTATTGAAGGCAAATAAATTTACAAAAAAAAAAAAAAACGTTATTAATGTCGTTGGGTAATTAGTTAAAACTATACATTAAATTAACAACTTTTTTTTATAAGAAAAAAGATTTAGCTTTCAAACTTTTATTTTTTTCAAAGTTAAAAAACGGGAGAGGTTCCTAATAAGCTCAGGAGGTCTGGGAAATAATTTTATAAAAACTTAATAAAGAAAAAAATTTATTAGTCTGTACCCGTTTTTTATTGAAGTTTACAATTTTACGATAAGAAGTTATAAAGTAACATTATAAGTAACATTAACTGTTAATTCAAAACAAAGATTTGACAGATTTATTTTCTACCACTTAATAGCGGTTTGCACGACTGCTACCGAAGCGTTTAAATTATTTTAAAGTTATGTTAATTATTTTTTTATTTGCAACTTTAAAAGGCAGACAATAAGCATTGTTTTTCTACCGCTTACTAAAAAATATTGAAGT